GATATATTTTCTCAAGTGACACCAACATCCTAAACATACTAAAACACTGCCATTAGCTGGGTACAAAGTATCCAAACATCTGAGCCAAATGGGAGATATTCTCATTTAAACAACTACACCATGAAAAGATAAATTTATATATTCTTTTATTCTATTTCCAGGGTGTTACACATTTTACTATGTAACATGGATAAAATAAATTTAAGTAACAATAGAAGATAATGAGAACAAAGAGAATGTCCTTAGGAATGTTGCATATTTCAACAACTCTCTAGTAAAGTTCCAACTGTCTTAGTTGGGATTTCTCTTGCTGTGAAGAGACATCATGACCACAATAACTATTATAAAGAAAAACATTTAATCGAGCCTGGCTTGCAGCTCATAGGTTAAGTCCATTGGCATCATGGCAGGAAGCCTGGCAGCATACAAGCAGACAAGATGCTGGAGAGGTAGCTGAGAGTTCTACATTCAGATCATCAGGCAGCAGGAAGAGAGTGAGACACTGAGCCCGGCTTGAGCATCTAAGTACTCAAAGCCCACCCCCAGTGACACATTTCCTCCAGCAAGGCCACACCCCCTAATAGTGCCACTCCCTATAGGCCTATGGGGGTCATTTTCATTCAAGCCACCACACCAACTATTGATTTCATTTTCATATTATCCTACAAATACTAATAAGTTAACTGGTATAGTAAAATGTCCTAGGTCCCAGGTATTTAGTATTTTCATTTTTTATTTTATGAAACAGTTTGAATCAACTGACATAAAAGAAACAGTATGAAAATCATATGCACTTTTGCATTATTGTATACATATTGTTTACATTTTCAATGACAAACTAGAGTTAGCAAAAGGCCCAAATACAGTGAGTAGTGAAGAATGTAATGATACATTAATTATACAGAATAAGAGATGGTATGGAACAAGGCATAGAGGCTTGGCTGGATAAAGCACTAAGTTGGGTCCTTTCAGCTATATGAACATATTCTCAGAATATTGTGTAATATTCTTGAGTATATATAGTACATCTATCAACCACTTTATGTTCCTTAGTATACATGATGTGTACATACTTGGAGATGATCCGTTTCCCATTGGACAGACAGTTATGTACTGCAGGTCCATGCTGCATGAAAGAATTGAGTAAGAACCACAAATACACTTACAGTACTTGCTAGATTCAACATTATTTGGTCAAGACAAGCCTATTCACACTAAATTTATATGCGACCAGTAGAAGAAATTCAGGATTTTGAGTTGTCTTCAGAACATTTGATAAATATAACCACAGAATAAAAACTTACTGTAGCCAAGTGAAGCAAAATGTCTAAAATAGCTACAAGATCTTTGTCAGATATAATAGTCAGTTTAAGAATTTGTCTCTTCCCTGATAAAATTGGGGACCACATTGATAAAAAGTCAGTTTTTGTTATCATAGAAATATCTTTTTAAGTTCTTCAAACAGGCCCTAAATATTAGTGACATATGACAAAAAATATTATATTTCACCTTTCTTCTAACATTATAGGTGAGTTATGACCCTGAATTTGCCTTCTTAGTCTGATATTTCAAACAAAAGCAATGCCCACATCTCAGACACGTTGGTCACTGGGCAGAGAAAGAGAATGAGAGCTATGAGAAGCACACAACTCAAAAGTTTTATTCAGATCTACCATTCACTATTTCCTCTCGTAATTTTTTAGACAGAGCAAATAATTTGACCAGGAGAATTTTGTGTTAGTATATTCTTCACACACACACACACACACACACACACACACACACACACACACACACACACACACTAAGCAAGCATCTGGCAATGAATGAGAATACATTAACCCCTTCAAGAAGTGATTTGTGAATAAGTTTTAAACAATATTCAAGCCTACCATGAATAGCCAGTGTACTATGATGCTCACATGATTTATGTGCTATAGATTATAACATGCAATTGAATGAACATTATACATCATGAGGATGAGAAAGATGAGAGACATATAAAGGCAGGGGGATAATTCACTTTTCTACAAGACACTAACATGTAAAGCTAATTTCTTAAGCTTCTCATAGTGTGGAGCAGAATCCAAGTGGAACGCTTGAGCAGGTTTCCAAAGCACATTTAAAGAGCACAGAGAACATCTGCTGATCATATGGACCTAGCACAACATATGAAGAAGTCATGCCAAAATGTACTGGTGTAGGTTGTTAGTACAGCTGAAACCTCCAATACATTTCCATATTAAAATTGTGGATTAGCTTCCAATGAGATTAGCCCTAATTATTCCCCTTACTCCATATTATTGTCTTACCCCAAAACTTCTATGAAAAAATCAGACAGATTCCCTTTGAAATTCAGGTACTCTATGGAAATGAACTTCAGTCCAGGGAATGGAGGCTGAAGAAACTAGCAAATCTAAATTAAAGTTACAAGATAATGAGGTTGAGTACCAGAATACTAAGTTAGAGATTTTGAAATCTTTCCCCTTCAGAGCCAGGACAAATTTGTGTCTAGCTGCAATTTGAGCAACGTAATTCGGAAAGGAGGTTAAAAGAGGATGAATATGTGAAAAATTAAATGCAGACTGGTTTTACCCAGATGCCATATTTAATAATAGATTAATATTAATTAGACATCATGCCATGAAGTATTGAAGAAACTTAGGTTTCTCAATACACAACCATGTTGACATTAGCTCTGCTGGAAATGAGTTTCTTCAAAGATCATTGCCTTGCAAAATTCCATGATACTACAGTATATCCATATTAATCTAATCACACTCATTGCTATATAATTATCTCATACTCCTGCACTGACGATTTCTCTTGTTCCCTATTGTAAGACCGGTTATATGACAAAGCCATTATCAGTTCTCAGTATTGCTGACATTTCTTTTGATTATTTCCATTACTATTCATAATGCTTCCTTCACAAGTTATTGTTTTGGCTCTTGTATTAGGTATTTTGTATCCTTAGGTTAACTTAGGAGGGAACTATATAGATAAGAAAAATACCTAGAATATCAAGTAAGAAAATCAATGTACAATATTATTACTACCAACTTCTAGCATTTTTTTAAAACATTCTTGAAATAATGCTGAGGCTATCTACAAGTTTCAAAATTGTCTCAACACAAATTTAAAAACAAATGAAATTCACTGTATTTATACCTTAAGTTCTTCTAAATATCCAGTAGTGTAAGAAACGTGTGTGTGTGTGTGTGTGTGTGTGTGTGTGTGTGTGTGTGTGTATACACCTGCTATTATTATTCTAGGAAGGAAACAGAATGTGTTAAGTAAGCATTGTTTTGTCCTTGGATATTCTGGAATATTTTAAGAAAGTAACATTTCAGGGAATCCTTTTTAGATATAATAAATATTCATTATGTAGTAGACATAGACGCAGTAACTTTTCATTCCTTAAAAAAAAATTTCTTTTACTTCATTTCCCCCTTCCCTTTCCTTCCTCCAAGGTCTCCCACATATCCTTCCTTGACATTTTTCACGTTTATGGTTTTTTTTCATTAATTGTTACATACATACAATTCTCATGGTAATCTTAAATTTGGTATCATCAGTATTAATTCAAATAAGGTAAGTTCAGCAACTACCCTGATGTCACAATCACCATTTACTGGGGGGCAGGGAGAATAACACACAGACAAAATTACACTAAAATAAAAAAAAAAAACAGAACAAAACAAACAAACAAACAAACCCACCTCATGTCCCTCTAGGAATTGCTCCAAAAATGAATGGAACAGTTTTGCAAGCAAGATAAAACAATTATTAATTCATATTTTCATCCAATAGATGTTTGGCTCTCTGACATCCCAAAAATTAGATAGAACTTAGAATTGGGCAACTGTTAAAACTAGATCCCCAAATCATACACACACATATGGACTAAACATCATATATACATATGTATGTGTGTGTGTGTGACTACAATTAAAGGAAGATTAAAGGAAACATGTCCAGAGACCTTGAATTGGAGAAATAGTAGGCAGTGAGAGGGTCTTATAAAAGGGTTGGCATTCGATGTAGGAAAAGCAAAAAGAAAAATGGTGTGTGTGTGTGTGTGTGTGTGTGTGTGTGTGTGTGTGTATTCCAAGCAGTTTCCCCTCCCTCTACTCCTCCCAATCCCATCCCCCATATCTCCCTTTTCCCCCATATCCACTCCTAATACATTTCCTTTCAAAAAAGAGCAGGCTTCCCAGCATAACAAGAATCAGTAAGGCTAGGCAAAATCCCTTATATGAAGGCTAGAGGAGGCAACCCAGTAAGAGGGAAAAGGTTCCAAAACCAGACAAAGGAATCAGAGACACTCCTCACTCCTGCTGTTAGGAGTCCCCAAGAACACTAATCTGCACAGCCATCACACATACATGCAGAAGACCTTGTCAGACGCATAAAGCCTTCTTGATTGTCCCTTCTGTCTCTGTGAGCCCTGTGAACTCTGCTATTAGCTGTGCAACATCTGTAAGTTGTATGTAGTCAAGATTTACTTCGTAGCTAGGCACATCTCTGTCATTAACATCAGAAATGTAGATCATTTCTGTTTAATAAAGTTATGAGGTTAAAATTTTTACCTTGATATTTGTTTTGAATTTGTTCTATGTATAATTTTTCTTCTTTCTTTTCTTTCTTTCTTTCTTTCTTTCTGTCTTTCTTTCTTCCTTTCTTTCTTTCTTTCTTTCTTTCCCTCCCTCCCTCCTTCCCTCCCTCCTTCCTTCCTTCCTTCCTTCCTTCGTTCTCTCTATGTTGTTGAGATGATGTTTCGTTCTGTATCTCAGAGCAGCTGGGAACTCACTACATAGCCCAGTCTGGCCTTGAGTTCACAGAGATCTGTATGAATCAGCCTGGACTATCTAATCTCTTGTAACAGTTGGCATGATAAGTGTGAGCTATCATGCTAGCTTTGATATGTTTTCTTAAAGATAATTAATTACAAGTTTTGTTCCACTTAGTTTTAAGTTGATTATAAGTTTAATACTTACAGTATCGATTCCCAATTATCCATGGGATTGAAGTCCTGACCCTCAGAGGATGCTTGAAAACACAGCCATACCTGAATTCTACACATACCAGTTTTTTCTTGTATGTATATACCTATATAAGTAAATATAAGTTAGGTAGAGTAAGTTCTCAACAATTAATTATAAAATAAATCAATTATAATATACTCTAGAAAGTTATTTAAAACATGCAAATTGCTACTTATATAGTATTTTCTTTTATTTTTCTCTCACACGTTGCATCCCAACTACAGTTTCTTTTCCGTCCACTCTTTCTAGCCCCCCACTTCTCTCTCCCCTGGATCCATGCTTCTTTGTTTCCCTTAAAAAAAACAAAAACAAACAAAACAAAACAAACAAACAAACAAACAAACAAAAAGCAGTAGGCCTCTCAGGAGTCTCACCTGAACATGACATAACAATTTACAATAAGGCTAGGCACCAGCCCCCTCATATCAAGGCTGTATGAGGCATCCCAGTAAGAGGAAAAGGTTCCCAAGATCAGGCAAAAGAATTTGAGAGGAACCCTGCTCTCGAAGTTACGAGTTTCTCAAGAACATTAAGTAACACAACCATAACATATATGTAGAGGACCTAGCACAGATCCATACAGGTTCCCTGATTGTCACTTCAGTTTCTTCAATTAAGCCCCTATGATCCCTGCTTAATTGATTCTGTGGGCTGTGTTCCTGTGGTTTCCTTGACTACTCTGGCTCCTGCAATCCTTCCCTTTTTCTTCTGCGGGTTCCCCTGGCTCCACCTAGTGTTTAGCTGTGGGTTTCTGCATTTGCTTCCGTCAGTTGTATGACATCTCTCCGATGGCAATTGGGTAATAGATACTGGTCTATAAGTATAGCAGAATATCATTAGTAATACTTTTGTATTACTTTTTTTTAGCTTTTTTTTTTTTTCAAGTTTTCTTTGGTTCTATCCTGGGCCTTTGAGCTGTCTAACCTCTGAGTCCTGACCTTCCTGGCGGTGTCAAGCATAAGTTCCCTCTTAAGGTGTGGGCCTCAAGTTGGACCAGTCATTGGTTGGCCACTCCCACAAGTTCTATACCACCGTCACCCCCAGAACATCTTGGAAGCAGGACAGATTGTAGATCAAAGGATTTGTGGTAGGGTTGGAGCTCAGTTCCACAGCTGAAAGTCTTGCCAAGTTATAAGAGAAAGCTGATTCATTAATAGGATTCTTCACTAGGATCACTCTAGAAGATTCCAGGGATTTTCCACTGCAGTAGGTTTCCACCTCAACCCCAAAATCCCACTCCCCCAATACCAGTCATCTCTCCCAGTTTTTCAAATAATGTTTTCAGATCAATGTTAACCTATATAATAAAAATCATGGAAAGGAGAGCTGTGGTTAATGGATATGCTTTAAAACCATAGTTTCTCTGTAATTATGTGTAACTTTTCTGATACTTACAGATAGGTATTAAGTAATGATGTACTTTATATGTGCTCCTCTCTGCCTTTGCTTTGAATAAAATAAAATTTTCTTTTAGCTTTCTACATTTTTTTTCTATGGTGGATAATATAAACTTCCTTCTTTCTGGTGCTTCAGAATTGTGTCTCATACCTCTAAATCTCCAGCAGTTTTCTCTTAGTTGGTTTTGCAGCTTACTTTTCATTGCGGCATAGTACTAAGTGGATTTCTTTGTATAAATTCATAAGCTGTCATTTCTCTTAAAAGCCGGATCCTGACTAGATATACATATATCTAGATCCCCAGTATATATGTATTAAGGCAAATTATTAATTTTCCTGGGTGCAAAGCAAGGATAAGAGGCTCTCAACCTCTTGGTGAGTGGCGTGACATTAAAAAGCAAATCATAGTTTTAAGTTCCCATATGATTAGTCACAGACCTAGCATAACTTATTGCTATTTACATGATACTGTATCTCAAACTTTCAGAAATCACGTTTTCTAAATTACACACATTTCAACAAATTCTATATATTTTAAATACCATGGCAGATGTTCTGTTACCCTAAGGAAATGAAGCTAGAAATCAAGAACAAAACAATACAAAAAAGTAGAAACAGAAACTTCCCATATGCGTGATAATTCAAAAACACACTTTCCAACAATCTACTATGAAATAAGCAAATTTTAAGATACGTGTGAAATATGCCCAACTACATGCATTTTTTTCCTTTTTCCTTTTAAATCTAAGTGTGTAGAAAGTCACACGAGGTAGCAAGATTTAGTAACTCAGTAAGCATATAAAAGAGGAACTGAACAAGAGAAATGAAATACCAAAAAAAAGGGTACCTGAATACTCTGAGACACTCCCTCCAACACACACACACACACACACACACACACACACACACACACACACACACACATTGTGAGACCTGAAAGTTAACCTAGTTCTAACCCTGCTGTGGGCCTATACTCAGCGGAAGCCAGCACTTGGTTCTTTCCAACTGGCTTTTGTCAGCTAGAAGAGAAGGATAGTAGAGAAGAACCAACATTTAACATCAGGCATATGTGCATTCATACACACCCAGGCACGCACAAACAGCAGAAACGTCTCTGCCCTTGAACCTTCATGTTTGAAGGTTTTAATTTGGGAGTCTACTTCTGTTTAAGAAACGCTTGAAGGAAGGACAGTCTTTTTGCTGGTATTACTGTTATGGTTGAAATTTGGAGAAAGATCTGGAGTGTTCTTTCCCTCGGTGTCTCCTCACCATTCCAGCCTCTTTCTGAACATGCATAAAACATGAGTTCAATACATGAACTCTTGGGGTAAAACTGGTTAGCGCTGACAACAGGAAGGGAAAGTATGGAGGCTTGTCCACAGAGTTCCAGATGTTCTAGACCCAAGGCTGAAGCAGAAAAGAAAGGCTGCTTGAAATCTTCATCCCTTCATTGCTCAGCATTAAAAACAAAAACAACCTAAAAACCTCTCAGAAACGAAACTAAAATCCTAAACCCAATATTAAACACGAAGGTTAAATGTTAAAAGCTGGGGATTGGTGGGAGGACAGGGGAATCCCTGCCTGATATGTAAAGTTAAATTAATTATTTAAAAAAGGAAAAAAAAGAATATGCTTCTATGAGACATTCTTAGACTTGTTGTTTCAGCAAATAATTTTTAGGCGTTCAGAAAAAAATGAAAGAATAATATATCTGGAATTATTATATTAATTAAAGAAACAATGACATAGGAAATAACTCAGTGCAAATGGGATAAGTGATTTGAATGGTTCCCTGTTCAAAGTCATGTGAATAGTAAAGATAGGGACAAAAAAAGAGGAAATTTCATTATACTTTAGAAAACTTAAATGTTTTCATAGCCTGCCAAGTACTTTCCTGGGCCCAAAATATTAGAAGGTATGGGTGGAGTCTCCCAGCAGGCACCAGCTCAACCTCTGTACCCTCAGTGAATTTTGTGGATGTTGTCCTTGGCAATGAGACCCTACTGGATGTTTTGGGTACTTGATCTTCTGTCCTAGCATCAGTCTGTTTTAGTTAGGGATCTTCACTGGATACTGTAGGCCAACAACAAAACCGAAAGAAATCCAGTCTCACCACTGGAAGCCTTGCCTGACTACAAAAGATGGTTAGTTCAGAATCTGGGTCCCTCATTACGAGGAGTCCTCATCTGGTTCAACCTCATAGATCCCAGGGCCTCCTCATATATTACATGGTTGTTACCTTGGTGTTTCTGTAGGACTCCTAACTCTTGGATTGGGCGTGTCTCTGACTCTTTCTCCTGTTCTTGGGACACTTTTCCTTCTCTTGGGTGACCATGTGCAGCTTCAGTGTGAGGACTTTTGCCTTGTTTTATCATATACACTTTTGGTGTGTTTATTTGGCTCTTGGAGGCCTGATCTTTTCTGATGGAAGAAGGAGAGAGAGTGGATCTGGAAGAGAGAGTAAGTGAGGGGTGCTGGGAGGAGTGGAGGGAGGGGAAACTATGGTTAGGATGAATTGTATGAGAGAAGTATCTATTTTCAACACAAAATAAGAAACAATTAAGAAAGAGAAGTTGAGGAACCACAACAACAGACAAACACCTGTACTTATATTGCCCTTCTAATGAGCATTGGCAATTTATAAGCTGGAAGAAATAAAGCAATGGGTGGATGGTTGGAGGTGCTTCTGCTCTAGGAGCTATTGTAGTCCAAGAGAACAAAACATGAGAAGCACAATAAGTGTCATGTGTCAAAGAAGTGGCTACCTTACCTGCGGTTCTCTTCACCAGTCATCATGCAGGACACCAAGGTCGAGAAAAAGAAGTGAGGTTAGTGCCTAACAAACGGCTTCTGGGGGAAGCAAAGGCAGTTTTGGAGGTGATATGAATGTTCAGTATTGTGTTCTGTGGTAGGTACATACCTAAGCCTAGAAGAATTTCATTGAATTGTATATTTTAAAGGGTGGTTCTCAATTACACCTTGATAAATATGACTACAATTTTTTTCAAAAGAAAGTTGGTAAAATCTTGTTCGTTAAGTATATAAATATTTAAAAAGGCATATCCTTATATAGCTTTATTTTTAAATTATATTACATTTTTGTTTTTTTTTTACATTCTTTTTTATTTATTTATTTTTTCATTTTACATACTAACCACAGTTTCCCCTCATCCTGCTCTCCCCTCCCCTCCTACCTACCCCCCATCTGCCCCTCAGAGTGAGTAAGGTCTCCCTTGGAGAGTCAACAAAGTCTGGCATATGAAGTTGAGGCAGGCCCAATGCCCTCTCTTCTGCATTAAGGCTGAGCAAGGTATCCCACCATAGGGACTAGGCTCCAAAAAGCCATTTCATGCACTTGGGATAAATCCTGGTCCCACTGCCAGAGGCCCCACAAAAAGAATGAGCCACACAACTGTCACCTTCATTCAGAGAGCCTAGTTCGCTTCTATGCAGATTCCCCAGCTGTCATTTCAGAGACTGTGAGCTCCCATTAGCTCCGGTCAGCTGTCTCTGTGGTTTTCCCCATTATGATCTTGACCGCCCTTGCTCATGTAATCCCTCCTCCCTCTCTTAACTGGACACCAGTAGCTAGGCCCAGTGCCAGTTCAGTTACCCTCTCCACTATTGCTATTGTATTGAATTGTATTGATAGATGGTTATATGCCAAGTACATGCGTAGAAATCAAAGGAAAACTTAGATGAGCTGGTTATCTTCTTCTACTGTGGATCCTGAGGCTTGAACTGGAGTTTTCAGGTTTGGCAGTGAGTGCCTTTCCATACTGAGCAATCTCCCTGTACCCATATATGTTTACTTAATGTTCTTTGTTTAAATGTGATAATAACCCCTAAAAATACATTGAAACAAAAAATATACAATCCAGGATGTGGGAGATTATTTAGTCAGTACAGTGATCAAATCAGCAGCATGAAGACTTCAGTTAGAGGCCCAGAACACATATAAAATAAGCCAGGTGATGTAGCACATGATTGTAATCCCAGTGATGGCAAGTCAGAGATCCTATCATATTTGGTGAACTCCAAGACAGTAAAGAATCTTGACTCTAAAACCAAAGCATAGTTCTGAAGAGTAACATTAAGGTTGTCCTTTTGGCTCTGTGCACATATACAAATATCTACAGACATGTATACACACATGGGTATGTATATACATATATACACTTTTATATACATACACTCAAGTGCATACACAAATATATCCAGTTCAGACAAGCCATGGAATGAAATTACAATAGTGTTAAGAAAAAATACATAGTATTAAAATGCATGTAAAAGATTAAAATTAAGAGTTAATGAAAAATGAAGACATTGAAGATCATGTGACTGATTGCTTTCTACTGCTGTGTTAAAGACATTCTGAACAAAAGCAACTCAGGGAAGAAAGGGTATCATTGGCTTATATGTCCGTGTCGGTCCATGTCACAGTCCATCATCAATGGAAACCAGGGAAGGAACTTAAAGCCAGAACCTAAAGACAGGAACTGAAAATGACTATGAAGGAAAGCAGTTTATTGGCTTGCTGCTAGATTCATGTTTGAGTTACCATTTTTATATCTCCAACAATCATGTGCAAAAGGGTGGCAATGCTCATAGTGGACTGGGCCATCTCATACCAAATGTTCATTAAGATATGGTCCCACAGGCACTCACATAGTTCAGTGTAATGGAGATATTTTCTCAGTTGAGATTCCTTCCTCCAAAATGACAGTAGCTTGTATCGAATCCCTGTAAAATCAACCCAAGGAACAATAAGAAAAGAAAAGAAATAACATTAACATGAGCAATAATCTAAAAAGGACACATAACAAAATATGGACACATATAACATCTGACTCTTAAATGTTCTTGAATTAAAAGACCAAGGGTGAAAAACAGATAATTTGACATTACAACAAATGAAATCTGGCCAATACTGGGTATTAAAACCATTGCAAGCATAGCATGAGCACATTTTCAGTTCTATATTGTCTTATACACCAAAATAATCTCATCAGTGTTAAATATTTTATAACTTTACAGAGTCATTGAAACATCATTACCATCAAGTTATAGAAAACTTGCTCAGTCAAAAGTGTCAGGGACAAGGGCAGAATCTCTAATTAGTGAAAAAAATACAGACCCCCCCGCCCCATAAGACAGGGTACTAGATCATCTTACAGTCAGGTCAGGTTGCCTAGCAACGGGACATTGAGTCAGAGCCCTTGACCCTCTCACCCTGTAAACATTCTATACAAACATCCTGTTAGCTTGCCCCACCTTATGCAGATGACAGCTTCTTGCTCTCCCCACCCTGCAGGAACTATATAAACCCTTGTGGAAGGAAATAAAGTTGCACCTTGATCAGAATCTAGACTTGGTGTGTTTTCCTTTGTATCTCCTGTTCCTACATTCCCTCCTTAGGGTGGTCAAGAACCCGTTGTAGCCCTGCAGGCGGGGCAAAAAGATTTTTGGGGTCCCAATTACATTGCTCCCCTCTCATATTTTATCCTAAACAACCATAGGTTTGCTGTTTGTTTGCTACTCATCCTAGAATTTCTTATATACAGACCCCCACAGAACTATTCAGTTGCATTTTTTGTTTCAAAGTAATAATGAGATGTATCTAAACCCACTGTCCTGATTGGTTTAGATTAAAATGTATTGACCAGTTGGGTTTGCTGATTTAAGGTTTTTATGAGGAGCACTGCTGTATAATTTTATGTATTTATATCTTTGCTGTATTATTTTATGTTCTGATTAATGCCTGAACTAGAATTTTGGTGGAACACAGTATCACAGCACATTATATATTTATTAAGTGAGCAATCATGTTGCTTAAGTTGCATATTTGGTTAAAAAAAGAGAATAAAAATTTCTCAGAAGAAGGTAGAGAGCTAACTGACTCCATCAGTAATATTGCATTTCCCCGGGAGAGTCACTGAAAACCTCAGTTTAACCTTCCCTTGTCAAATGAGAAAAATAATGAGTCTCTGCCTTGGAGGAGTATGGACAGGATTTATAACATAATTCTGCATGTAAAAATTGCTCTGCACTTTAAGCAAAAGGAGTGCAAATTAAATACAGCAGATTATTTCATAGTTTATATTAGTCAGCTTCTGTTTCAGTTGCGGCATGGTTATGTCTTTTGTAAGAAAAAGTAACACATACCCATACACACACACACACACACACACACACACACACACACAGAGAGAGAGAGAGAGAGAGAGAGAGAGAGAGAGAGAGAGAGAGAGAGAGAGAGAAGAAAACCAACCAGAAAGTGCCTTTAATATTTTCTTATGCCACAGGATAAATTTAATGATTTTTAAAAGTACACCCTGAAGCTATTAATAATTATAAGCCATTATTGTTTTACAATTGAAACAATACTATAAGCCTCTGCAAAAATATTTCAACAATTTATAAGCCCACGTGTCTTACTGTGACCTCCGGGGCTCATTATTTAGAATAAACTGACTTCTGCAGGGTTCAGGTCTTACATATTAGTTTGTAAACAAAACAATTCTTCAGAAACACATTAGTTAGGTGTGTGGCAGAACTTGTGTAATTGAATCTATATACTTATCTACACTAAAGTGGAAAGGTCAAAAAATAAAGTAGACACTAATTTACTTTTCTCTTAGCTACTGGGGTAAATCCGAATTTCTTCCTAGCATCCAGCAATCTTCCTCCAGCAGCTTGATAGCTGAAAAGTTGGAAAAGAAATGGAAAGAGAAAAATGCCAGAGTTAGAAGTGATTTATATCCCAGTATAGTTGGAGAACATCAGAGCTTGACTATATTAAACCTGTAATGGCTGAAATTTAACAGAACCTAGAAACAACTTAGCATGAGTGGGAGTGGAGGCAGATAGAGCAAAACAGCAACAGTTTAAAAATACCCATTGTGGATGCACAGGAATACTGAAACTATGAAAACTTCAACAGATTGCACATTTCAGTCTAAAGCAAAGTATGTGAACTGTATTCACTAAAGTGGAATCAACCAAAAGATTACTGAAATGTATGTTCAAGCAGTATGGTTGCTCTGTACTAAGGGAATTTAGCTCATATATGTTCTATGTAGGATTTTCTCAATACTGTATTAAGTTAGAATCACATTTAAAGAAAAGGAAAAAATATCAATATACAGAGAAAACCTGGGGTATCCGGGTAATTTGATTTAATTTGGGTCATAGGTCTTGGTAATTTTAAGACTGTTCTTATTAAAGTATGTTTGATGGTATATTCATAAAATACTGACAATAGAACAGATAGAATTTGAACTTGCATTCCTAGGTGCTTTACTTGGCATTATTAGGTCTTGCACAATTTCACAAGTGTTTAAAGGTATGTGATTCAATATATTCAGTCTGTGAAAGCATCCTGCTTATACTTAACAGTAATCTTGCTTGAGTGCAAGCAAATATTAAGTATTTAGCCTGGAGGACCACTCAAGATTTTGACTTGAAAATCTGTAGCTTTAAATGCTGTCTCCTGTCAATAAAGTTGTAGGACTAGACTCTGGGTTCCGGAGACCCTAATAAATGAAGCTGGGCCATCTGTTATTCAATAGGCCAATTAACAGACAATAGTATGAAATGGAGGGGAAATTATTTAGTCAGTGTGGTCAGGAAAGAAGAATTCCAGCGACATCCCCCCACTTCCACCACAATTCATATTCCTCCTTCTCCATGAAGTGGAAGTTTAAGTACTATGAGAGAAAGGAAATGAGCAGTAAGCAACCTTATTCAAGATGTACTCCAGGCTAGCACTGGTGCACCATTGTATCCCGCAAGGTGGTCTGATAAGTTGTCAAAGCTGTCTGAAATTCCAATAGAGACAAGGTCCTTTGATGATTGGCAGCAAACTTTCTGTTAACACTAGGTTTGTGAAAAAACTTCCAATATCTTGGGAAGTACTGTTTCACTAATCTGACAAAGACAGGGTCATATGTTTCTTTATATCATCATTTCTACTAAAAGTATTGTATTCCTGTCTAGTCTATTACCTTTATCTTGATTTGCATTTATAATTGGCCAGCTCATAAATAAAGTTATACTAGTGTAAATTATTTACACCGAGAAAGAAAATAGTTATCTATAAACTGAAGGATTTAAAATAACCAAACACGATCAATAGAGTACCTTGTAATATTATGTGTGTTAACAGTAGGACAAATTTAAGAGCCAAATAATAATGATGGAACAAAAACCTATCTAGCCAGATCCATGGGGCTGTGTGACCAATTTTTTTAATTGTATCATAAATCATTATTTTTCTTTTTATGCTTAGAGTGACTCACCTTAAAGAATGAGAGGCTGAAACATGAAGTGAAAAGCAAAAGATAAAGAGAGAGAAATTGGTTTTATCCCTAAAGGTCAACTGAAAAATATGGAAATTTCCATTTTTATGTCATCTGGATATAGATGGTGTCAGTCCATAGTCATGTCTAGAGCCCTGCTAATGACCCTAGTGATAGAGTCTTCCCTAAGGGAATGAGGTTTAAAGAGGGAAATGTCAATGCCCCTTTCAGAGAGTACTAATTTGCTGGGAGATCTGATAACATTTTAAGTGCTCAGCCTTGAGATGACCTGCTGTGCATACTGCTAAAAGAAGAAGAAGTAGAAAAAGAAAAAGAAAACTTAATATTACAGCTAAAAAGGACCATTACAAAATAGAATCAATTAAAATCTCACTCCCTTAGTTTATTTCTTTAAGAACAATAGTGAAAATTATTAAGGACGCCAGTAAACTGGCATAGCATTCTTTGAGAGCTGCATTTGTCAAATTGTCTACAGGCTACTCTGGTATATTCTTGTAATCATAAGGTTCAGCTACAGCAATCATTTGCCTCCAATCAAACACAAATATCTTGGGAGGCAATGAGGACTATTTCCATTCTGAATTCTCTTCCTCTGGATGTGTGAACCTGCTAAGAGCTTACAAGGCTCTTTAGGGAGAAGCTTGTATTTCAGATCAGTTATCTCATCACATTATTTTGATGGACAGTCTCCAAATGTATGGTAATGTAATGTAATGTATGGTGATTTGTTAAGACTTTTGGGGAGGCATTAACTAGTGAAAAAGTAGTTTCCTTATTTCCAACTGAGGTGTAGAGAAATAGAGACCTGAGCCATGATCAACCTGCTCTTCATAGCCACTCAGAGAAAACATCATGATATTCAATAGAGCTAGTTATGAAATGAAATTCTGAGTGTGTGGTTAGGAAAAAAGTCAAGATATGGAAATCAAATTGCCAAGAAAAAAAGATCATTCAAATGGAGTAATATTCTTAAATGACAAATAAAAATTGCAAGTTCAATGGAAAAATATAATTACTATTTCTCTATGGGGTGAACATAACTGCCCAGTCTCTCCCATGGACATTTGTCACATTTATGAGTTTGATTTTTTTGGTTATCATAATGCAGACATGATAATAGCATTGTACTGAGAGCAGGTGCAGCAAAGCACCATGCAATTCACAGGAAGATCTCCTGTGACAGAATCATTCAAAATGTGTATAGTACAAGGTTGAGGAACTTGGTGTGAAGAAATGCCATGTAGACCATGCTGTTCAAGAAACTACTTCTGAATGCTTAAAATGGAAAAGCTCTATGGAAATATTAATTCCTACCAACTGAATTCCTTTTGTATTCTAAAACCTACCTAAGCATATGTTTCATATGTTTCTAAATGTACAACTGTTAGAAAAGTTACAAATATCAGACTATGATTTTTTTAA